GTAGGATGGAACATATTTACTGTATATCTATGGGGACGACATGTTGTCTTTATAGTTGTATCTATTGAGACAACTTGTTGTCTCTATAGACGCACATGTAAGACGACATGTCGTCTCTATAGCTTTACCTATGGAGACTAGCATCGTATAGTGACGAACCAAAAAAGGACGATATGTCGTCTCTAAAGCTACCTTTATTGCGACGGTATCTTTATATATATTAAAAGAGAAACCTGATTACATCATCTTCAACAATCTACATCATCTTCAACAATCTAGTTCATAGATTGGCTTTCCTTTATAGTTTTCCACCATTGGATCAATTTGATGATGTCATCCGCATAATGTTAATTGGATTTTTTAAATCCTTTCAGAATGTTGATTAAGGAAATAATTATTTTTTCGGATTCCGACATTTATGATTAAAATGTTAATTAAGGAAATAATATATTTGAACCATTCCAAATCGTTGACCCTTATAAAGATCAAAATCATCATTAATCAAATCTCATTAAATGTGCATCTAATTTATCTATTTTTGACAATTATTTGAATTTAATATAAAATCATGCCTCCTATTTTCCAATTGTCTCTTGAAAATCGTTAATCAACTCCTATTCCTTATTATCTTCATCAATATCATTTAATTCCAATCTTTGGAATACTAAATAATAGATAAACATATTGTCTCCAATTTAAAGTAGATTTTAAACGATTTTGTTTCTCATTGTCTGCGTTTTGAAAATTATAAATAATTATCACATTTCTCATTTTCTCCTTCACATGTCTGTTCTTATATCAATGCACTACAGAAATTGAACAAAACAATACATCAACCTTCACATTAGTTTTATTACGAATCTTCAAGGTATGTCCTTCTCTGCGTGTGTTTTTTTAACATGTGTGTGTTGTGTTTCCCTTTGTTTGTACCGCTTATATGTCTTAACTAATTATTTGTAACTGTTCTAAAAAACTTGCATAAAAAGATTTAAAAGTTCATAAAATATTAACAACTTCATCTTCTTTATATAAAGCAAAGTGTCGAATTTCTGCATCTGCACACATTTATATTGACTCTTATAGATAGGTTCAGACCCAATATAAGTGAAATATAGAAAATCATAAGTACATGAATATATTCAGATTTCTATAAACATTTAGAATTCGTATAATCATTTCTTATGTTATGAGATCCATCTATGAATTTTCTAATCTCTCAAACCTGTTATAAATCAAGCAAAAATAGCTAATCCGCATCATGCGAATTCAAATTAACATGTGTATGTGTTGTGTTTCTCTTTGTTGGTACCTCTTATATGTGTTAACTAACTATTTGTAAATGTTCTCAGTGAATCCGTTCATTGCCCACTGAATAAATTAAGAAATATATTGTTAACAACATGAGTTATTTACTTTGATACTTTTGCATGCAAACTTAGCAACCAAAGTCTAAGGTTTTTTCTTTTACTTTGAATAATTCTTCTTTCTGTTTCTCTTCTAATTTCAATGATGGAATATTGGAATTTATTGTTTTACACGGTGTCTTGACAGCAAAGAATCTCACGATCATAAAAGTTGTATTTTATCTGCTTATCTAATAGTAGTAAAATATTATTAAGAAAACAACTTAACTAAGATTTTATTTAAATAATATATATTTTTCTTAGTCTCATAATTATCTCTAATAGTTTTGTGTTTCTCTTTAAACAAGATTTCTGTTAAACAAGGTAATTCAAATTTCGATAAATAAATAACCTTTTCAGCTAATAATCCGTAATTAACTTAACTTCATAACCTACCATCTAATAATTCGTATCTTCTGCACCTTTTAGATGATTTGCATATGATTTAATCTCATATTGTTAAATCTTAAATCATTGTAATCATTTCCATATTCAAATTTCAATATATATATATATATATATATATATATATATATATATGATTTCCTATTTATTTCATTATTCATATCAGTTACCAAATTACTTTGGTTGTTTTTAAAATCCTTTCCTCTGCATAATCATCATCGACGACACCAACATCTACATAAGGTTAGCAAACTGATTTCGCTTATTGACTTTCTTTTGATGTCTATTAATGTGTTCAATTACATGTATGTATGTATGTCTGTTTTACGTGATGTTGTTTTACAAAGTTTCTTTTGATTGCAAATTAGTTGATTACTGAATTTGGAAAGTGTTTGCTTTTTTCCTTTCTTTTGGGTTAATTTTTTTCTGAATTATATCTCCTCTTCCTTCACAATCTGTCATCCAACTTCGTTTGGCCAATGCTATTTGATTTTGGGCTGTATGGATTTTTTTGTGGGGTGAGGGTGGGGGGTAAACCTTTTCCTTCATTAAAACCTGATTTATGCCCGCAAGAATCATTGTCCATATGAAGAAGTAATTTTTTAAAATTAGACACAAATTGAGAATTAGGAACATTTATTTGCTTCTTGTCATTCAATTTGCAATAGAATTCTGGCATAAAATGACTTTGATGGAGTATATCGATCTATTATGAAACAGTATATGGGCATTTCTGTTAATTTTGACGCAATAACACACATTAATCCTTTGTTTTGGGTCATTTTTGCTGACTTATTTGGTTAGTTTCATATTCCTTTGTGAAATTTTGGTGTTTTTTTGGCTTTTGGTACAAGTGTATGGTTTATAGTTTTTTTTTGTCATTTTTTTATATTTATAGTAAAGTACTTTGCTATTTGCGTATACGTCTTTATAAAACAAAAAAGTTTTATTTTTTGGTTTGTATGAGATTTGGTCTTAAAGTAATTATTTTTGTTAAACTGAAATAGCAAAAGGTTTTAATCTAAAATGATAAAAATATGATTAGAGGCATTTTAGCTATTTGGCAACGTTTAGGTTTAAAAATACAAAACATGATCAGGGCATTTTAGTAATTTGACAAAGTTTCAATCTAACCTTGCATATGATGTTTTGAAAATATCATGCTGAAAAGTTTATGCTTGAGAAATTGAATTTGAAAATATCATAATAATGTATATATTAGTTTTAACTAACAATTATGATAAAACATGTATCTTTTTAAATTAATAGTTTTTTGCGAAACATTGATTAGTTAATACGATTAGTTATTACAATTAGTTATAACTAAAGATGAAATTACATTAAATATATGTTGGTTATTTTAAAATATTTTATTAACATTTAAAAAAATGAACGAATAATTAACTTTTATTTTACAGATATTATTTAATTATAATTCGAGAGATATGTTAAGATTCTAATTAAATATGGTGTGATATAAATTTTTTATTTTAATGAAAATATTGTAAAAACCTTATTAATTTTGGTATGATGTTGAATATATTTAGTATAAATTTTTAAGATGTATATTATATTATAATTTTAATTAATTTTAACAAAATAGAAACTAACTATATTTGGAATTGATACTAATTACGAAAATGTCATTTTTATATATTAGAGATGATTATGATTTTTTTTAATTATTATGTCATAAGAATCCGATTAATTTTTGTATGATTTTAAAATATTTTTGTATGATCTTATTATATTTTTAGGTTGATTTAATAGTAAATAATATATAATCTATTTATGCATCCTTTGAAACTAAGTATAGAAACGATTTTGTTGACAACTATAATATATGGGTAATAATTTCCAAAATTGTCTTTAAATTTCTTCTGTATATATATTTTATGTGACTTCCTTAACGATTACTTTTATTCACTGTGAACATCAAAGCTCTCCAACATCAGAATCAGGATACCGAGAAATACACGAGGTTAGTGATTCCATTCTTTTTACGTATACAATATCATTTTTTTTACTTGACACACATTGAAAGACGACTATTACCTTATGTTTTGCTTATTAATTGTCAATTCGACTTATCAAATAACTTCAATCCATCAAATCAATAATTGAGTACACTTCGGACAATAAAAGTAATGATGTATAAGATCACCCATCCATCGTGTGTGGTTTAAATCTTATTGTCTAACAATGACATTTTGTGATTCGATGTATATTCAGAAGAATATTTAGTGATATATACATCTTCTATTATTAATGATTTCAACTCGTATGCATCGATGCTTATCAAGTTTGACGGAAAATTGAGATATTTTTTCTGTAGGTGGAGATCGTTTGTGGGGTATTTGGGTTTTAATTCAGAATCGATGGGTTAAAATAGATGTTAGTAATTACAATGCCGATGCACATGAATGGTGAGATTATCGAAACAACCTCCTTAATTTTTTTTAAGGAAATATGATTGGGTATGTCGTTCCGGCACATCGTTCTCATGAAGTATTTTCATTTTGTTCACATTTTGAGATAGTGACTATGCTAAGTGGAAATATATTTTAATCATCAACGCATGTTTTATTTGGTTTAATGATATTAATTTTTTTATGTTACTTTATATTATTTTTTTATTATGTCGGTTTTTTGTAACTTTATATGAATTGTTTTATACGTTCCCCGCGTTTAACGCGTGTTATAATCTAGTTTATAAAGACAACAAAAAAAGATCTATTGCGATGGGGCTATGGTGACAGAGAGCTATAGGGACGACTTTTGAACCTATAGAGACGACATTTGTCGTCCCTATAGGCCCCGTTTCTTGTAGTAAATGTTGCCTATAAAATAAAGGACTTCCATACAAACTGCAACACTTCTTTGCATCACGCAGAAAATAAGGCTTGCCATGCAAGTTTGGATTCGGAGCTACCATATCCATGCAACATATATAAAGAGATGATACATGGCATAGCCAAACCTACAAAACCCATAAAAAGATCACAAAGTTTTGATATAAATGAAATTAAAATCTATTTATAAATTCAAGAGTTAAGGTTAATTAATACAAACAGGAAATAAATACAAGCAAAGTGCAACCAAGGAACGCATAATAATAATAATAATAATTAACCTACATAAACACCAACATTCTCATAAACAGTAATTAAAGTGGAGTTCTTTTTAGCGCATCTACTCTGGCTGACAATCAATTAGAACTTGGACTACTGAATCCATTGTCGGCCTTTTATGCCTGTCTTCATCGACACAACTAAGACCGACCTCAACCAATGTTGCGGCCTGCTTCCTACTAAATAACCCTCCCAACCTCGGATCAACAATCTCTTCGAACCATAATCCTTTTTCTTCTCGAATCTTTGTTTTTGTTTCCCTTGCAAACCTTAGGAGCTCTGATTCTTCCTCTTCTCCTCCATGAACACTTAAATTAGAAAGCCGAATTCCCTTCGTCAATTCTAAAATCACAACGCCATAGCTGTACACGTCAACTTTTGCTGTGATAGGCAGGTTGTGAGCCCATTCTGGAGCCATATACCCTTTTGTCCCCCTGACCTGAGTGAAATTCGAGTTTGGTCCACCTCTTTGAGATAATTTTGCAAGACCAAAATCTGCAATCTTTGGTTGGAATGCACCATCTAAAAGAATGTTTTCTGGCTTTACATCACAATGAATCACCCATTCTAGGCACTCATGGTGTAGATAAGCCAAGCCTTTTGCAATGCCTATGGCAACTTCGAACCTTTCTTTCCATTGAAGAAAAGTTGAGGAGAACAATCTCTTGTCAAGAGATTCATTTTCTACATACTCGAGAACGAGAAGTTTGTGTTGTTTCTGTGAACAGAATCCCCACATTCTCACTAGATTCATGTGATTGATTTTACCTATTGTGCTCAATTCTGTAAAAAACTCTCCCCCGTCACTCACATCTCCCAATCTTTTCACAGCCACCACCCTTTCGTCTTCCAGAATCCCTTTATACACAACTCCTGATCCTCCTCGGCCTATCTCCACCTTAAAGTTCTGTGTCGCCTCCAACAGCTCTTTATAACTAAACCCTCTAAATTGACTAGATACCATACGATACCCTTCTTCTAGGTTCTTTAGTAATTCGTTGTTTACATAGAATACCCACCAGCCCATTACGATAACCAAAGCTTCAACTAAACCAAAAGCTATAGCAAACGAGTAAAGATAAACCCATTTTACCTTTCCTCCAGATGATTCATACATAGATGGAAAACCAATCATAACGGGGACATCTGCACATGTGGCCTTTAAACCAGTAAGGATTGAGGCAGATTCTGGCGTTTGCATGCCTAGTGGTATTTTTAAGTAGATGGTTCCTGCGAATTTAGGATACCGATAACCGTTGAAGAGAGCACTTTTAACATAGCAATCACCTATACCTGGTAGCTTATAAACAAATGCTTGACAACGACAATCTGCCAAGCAGATGTTTCTACAGGATTCAAGCGAAATGGATGATGAGAAATTTAGATCAAAGCCAAAGTAATCAGTATACCGCATTGGCAAAAATCCAAACCTTGTGGAGTTTACACATGTTCTGTTGAAAGTAGGCTTACAACCTTGACTAAAATCAGTAGGGTCACTCCACTCATAATGAGTAGGGCATGAGCATTCGGGTTTTCCACCATAAACACAAATCCCGTTCCTCCCACAGATTCCATGGATATTACATGGTTGTGCAACAGCTTGCCATGAGATCGACCACAATCCTGTTGATTCATTCAAGCTATAGAATCTGAGATTACCATCGTAATCCATGGTTAACCTCCTTCTGATCCCAAAACCCATATCTGAAGCATTAAACAGCAACAGATCGCTTGACTTAAATACACCCAAATCATTAAAGACTGCGATTCTGCTACTATTATAGGAGGTTCTTCGGTAATCCCAAATATTAAATCCTGGATCAGGACTAGGCCAATACACACTTGATATTTCTGGGCCATCATAAAGCAGTGTTAAAATGTTAATACTATTATAACTGAAACTATGATATCCAGGTTGAAAACTACCTTTTCTTAAAGTAGATTTCAAGCTTTTGCTCTTCGTTAATGTTTGAGAAGGTAAAAGAGTATCAGTTGGATAATCAAAGCTTTGCCAAAGAATCTGACCTTTCGTGTTCATCAATACCAGATTACTAGTATTCAGCAGCACTGCTCAATCTACATCCGTGGACGTTGTGTTGGTCCCGGTCCACACAATGGTGCCATCTACATCAGTCAAAACCATGGCACCGTTTGTATGAAGTGTCAACTTTGAGCCATGGCCATTGACAGGTTTGTTGCTGTTCGCTGTCCAAACCACGGTTCGATCTTTGGACTTTGTAAACCAAATTGCAAACCAGTAAGCATTAGTTTGAAAACTATAGAAACCGCAGGTAAAAGTGTTATCCCGGGAAGTTATGAGGTGTGAATCATCACCTACAGAGAGAAACGAGCCTCTATAAAGACAATCCTGAATTGTGTTCTTTGATACGAAAGATTTCATCAAGCAACAGAAGAGGAGGAGAAAGACTGTTTTCGTCATGCTTGGCTGTTTAATCTTTCAGTAAACAGCTTAATTTGTTTTAGTGAAGAGGAAGACTTTGCACGTATTACCTCAATCCTTATACTTTACATTACTTAATGATATCATAGACTTTGTTTTATGTGTTTAAAAATGTAAAATGGTTGTTATATCAGATACAATGAAAGATTCTGACGTGAAATATATTGTGAATCATCATTTATGTCCTAGTTGGCGGTAAGTTTTTTTATTATGTCGACGGAAGAGGATAATTTCCTTTCATTAATCTATTCTATTTGTAATCGCAGCCACAATGTCAAACTTAGTATAAAATGTTACCATATGCGAATTGTATTACTTAGTAGCATTTTCGTTATACGTTATACTTTATGTTGATCCATCCATGTACGAGACTACAAATCCCGATGTTACATATTATTTGAAGAGAAAATTACACCGATGTATTTGTGGGTAGTTTGCATGTTTGATTCTTAATTTTTTTCATTCGGACAGTCACTTAAAGTTTATTTTGTTGCATATTTCATCTCTATCGGTAGAGGTGGCAAATGTGTCGTGTCGTGTTCGTGTCGGGTTGAGACTTAAATAGGTTGAGATAGTTTGACTCTAACCCGGCCCGTTTAATTATCATGTCAACCCATTTATTTTTGTGTCAGGTTGGCATGTTTAGGGTATAGACCTTATAAGTATGTCGTGTCGTGCTAGACTAAAACACTAAATAAGTTGAAAGAGTATCACTTGGATAGGTGGATAAGAAAAAGTGAAAAACGGAAAAGAGTAGTAGTTTGAGACACCGATGAGTGAAATTCACAAGAGGAAGTAGGCGAATGAGATTGTGGACTATGGGATATAAATGAAAAAGTACAAAAGCTAAAAATAATTATTAATTGGGCGGCTAATTAGTAGCTTCCATATTACCAAACAACTCAATCTTAAATTTTCTTCTACATTTGGTTTTGGTTTTGGTTTTGGTTTTGGTCATGCCATGTAAACCTAAAAAGAAGTTGCATATAAATAAACGGATCATTTTCGAGTTAAAAGTTTGGACCCTAACATTACCCATTTAATTTTCGTGTTGTATCGTGTTAACCCATTTAATTAAACGGATTGACATCTCTAACCCAAACTCGTTTATTTGCATTTCGGTTTGTGTCGTGTCAAGAATTGCCTCCGCTGCCTACCACCAGACATAAAAAAGACACTTTTACCCTTATTTATTTATTTATTTATTTATTACTTTTTCTATTATTTATATGTTATTTATAATTCTATAAAATTTAATGGGCCCACCATCCCCACCCCTCGTACTTATCAGTTTCTCCGCTCCAACGTCGCCATATCCCTTCATCTCCAACGATGGTCATCTTCTTCGGCAAGCTATCGTCGATAACTGTGTTGAAGCCTAAACATCAAGTAAATCCATAGACCATTTACAATTTCATATATATAAAGCTAATTGTGTTTAAACTAGTCCAACTTTAACATTCTCATCTCTGCTTCAACATCTTCCTAAAACCTACAAGAATCAGTGCTAACAACATCTTCTTAAAACCTTCAAACGATTCATAATTTTGTAACACCCGTTTCGCAGGTACTTTTCATTTATAGCTTAAAGTATAAAATTCTTGAAAATATGGTCCTACACGGTGTGTAGGTAGTTCTCTACCCAGGACGTAGTATGAGAAAGTGGACGCGCGCATTTAAAACCCTACGCAAGGTGTACCCTTGTGTACGCAACGCGTAGGTGCGCTGATTCTAAACCCTAATTTTGTAGGGTTGTGACCCTATTTAAAGACCTTAACTCACTTGAGGCCTGCCTTATCCTCAGCCTCCACTCTCCCAATAAGCCAACTCAAAACCCTAATCCCTTGTGAGCTTGTTTTGAGTATTTTTGTGTGTTTTGGTGCATCTTGAAGAAGGAGGAGTCTATCATTGTGGATTGGTGTGGCTCAAGCTTGAAGATCTAGAGCTTTCATCTCATTTTCCAACTTCAGGAGCTATAAAGTTCTCACATTTATGATTCCTTGGGTTAGATCTAGGATGGCCTATAGATTTGTATGCTTTCGGTCCCATGAGTTTGGCTTTTGTGAGTAATAGCTACTCCAGAGCTTGAGGTTATCATTTCCTATTGTTTCGGAGAATCTTATATCATAAAAATGGGGTCTTGGTTGTTATATTTCACCCATGCAAGGGTTTGAGGTCATTAAAGGAAGCTATGGAACTAGGTTTTGGTCTTGATCTCCATTAAGCCATACAAAGGCATTAAGTCAGGAAAAATATCATTTTAGACGTCTATTAGGTTTAGATTTAAGTGTTGTACATTTGGTCTTAAGGTATTAAGAACTTAAAATGAAGTTTGGCTTCTGGCTCTGTATGCGGGGCGTAATCCGGGCTACGCCCAATGTAGCCTAGTTCTCACCTGTTTTTCTGGATTAAGACTCTACGCCCAGCATAGAGCTAGGGTACGCAGTGCGTAGGTCAACAAAAGGTTGACCGTTGACTTTTTGACCAGTTTGACTTTTGGTCAACTGTGAGGGGTTTAAGACTTGGAAGGGTAAAATGGTCTTTTACCTAAATAAGTATCTGCTTTGGTATTTTGGACTTGCTAAGTTGGGTAATTACCATAATTGTTAATAGGGGTTGTTTTCGATATGTTTAGTGTGAGGAGCTTTTGTAGCAGCAGCTCGAGTGTGAGTTTTTATCTGGCTATCGATTGAGGTGAGTGTCTTCGTTGTACTTGTGGGTTGAAGGCACCAATGTTGACCCACTGGATTGTGCTATGTAGAATGCTAGTTGTCTTTGTGTTTCTTGCATGTATGATTGGGTTGAAATACACTCTAGGGCTAGGCCCAAGCGTTGGGCCCATTATTGTATGTTTGGGTTGAGATAAACCCCGAGGCTGGGCCCATTATGATATGTTGGGTTGAAATATACTCTAGGGTTGGGCCTAAGATTGTATGTTAGGTTGGAATATACCCCCGGGTTGGGCCCACTGATTAGTATGGCATGTGGTATCTTGGGGAACTCACTAAACTTTGTGCTTACGGTTTTGTGTTTTAACATTTTCAGGTACTTCCAGTTCGAAAGGGAAGGGTCCGACATGATTGCATCGCATCCACTAAAGATTTCACATTTATGATTTGATGATACTTTGATATTCCTTTTTAAACATTGTTGACATTGGTGATCTTTTATAGAATATACATTGAATGTTTTACCATTTAAAAATGAAAAATTTTCTATGAGTTTTGGGACGTTACAAGTTGGTATCAGTGCCTTGGTTTTAGGGATTCGGGCACACTCGTAGTCGTAGGTGAATCTGAACTCAAACTGAGGATTTGGTAATCTTTTTGAAAATGAAAAATAAATTTTCTAAAAATATGCTATAAAGGAAAAACTGAGTTCGGGTAAGTGATTCCCAAAATACTCATACCAATGTATTATTACTAGTATGCTTGATATGTGAATTGCATGCTAAAGTAGGGCTAAGGATACCTTCAGGAATCGCATGCTAAAGTAGGGCTAAGGATACCTTTAGGAATCACATGCTAAAATTGTATGATTTGTGTGATGCCTTATAGCCTAAATGGATTGGATTCTATGTATTACTCGGAATTTATATCGGCTTAGTTAATTGCTAAGTGTATGCTTTAAAAATTGTATACGATTAGGATCATATAGCCCTAGAATGATTGGTTTTGCCTTATTTCCTGTTCCTTTTTTGGTTGTGGGCTTAGGGTAGAATCATTATTCGATAGTCTAAGTGTTCCCATTTTATGTACAATTTGCATGCATAAGGCAACCAACGGTGTTGGTTGAGGTTCTTAGTATTGCAGAGGCTGATGAGTCAAGAATTTATAGGAGAGTCTAGCAAGTGTCATAGTGGGAAATATATGATGCTTAGCATAGGGATTGTGTGTATCGCTTTAGTGCGGTGACTCAGAGGAATCGAGACGGTTCTTGAGGAAAGCCTAGATATGTGTGGAAGGTAGTATTGGGCCAGTACTACTGAAAGCATAGGATCTATACTCGAATCAAGGACGATCTCGGGGATTCTAAGGAGCCTGCAGAGTGGGAGTTCTATCAAGTCATTCTGATCATTTGTATGTTTGTATTTCAGTAAGGTGACCACTTGAGGAGGAGGTTCTGGCTCTTTACCAGAACCGATTGATGAGAGATTGTGCGAGTTCATCACATCGGGGATTACTCGCGGTATTTTGGAGGCCACCTCTGTGATTTTCGGTACCATCAAGGAGGGGATTATGGAGCTTCTGGATGAGCGACGTAGGGCCTTCTAGGCCAAGATCGCGGCAGGACAGTTCGGAGCATGGATTACCTCTTTTCGGGCGTTCAAGGAACGTGGAGCTCCGAAGTTCTTTGGGGCTAAGGACCCTATTGCTAGCTGTCGATGGATCACTGACATGGAGAATACTCAGCGAACGAGCTTCTTCCCTGAGGGGGGCGAAGGTGGGATTTTCATCACACCTTCTGAGTGACCGAGCTCGTGATTGGCGGGAGGAATTCGGTCGTGCATTAGGATTTGCGGCTGTGGTGGCCATGAAATGGGAGGACTTTGTGACTAGGTTTCAGGAGGAGTTTCT